ATTTCTGAATGAGTTTGACACAATGCATGGCATCCATCTGAAAGTCTCGATCTGACATCTGCTGAACATGACTAAGTTTTTAGGTTAATGATTTTTTTTAATTTGTGGTATTAGGCAAAACTATGCTGAACACAGATTATTCTGTGTTCAATTTCCTTATTTCCGTTACTAAATTTGTTTTAACTGATCCATACACAAAGAAGTTAATGAATGAAAATATCCATTCCTGAAATGGCTGCTGATTCACTAAACTTAGATTTCCATTTGATTTTTTTTATTCTTCTTTGAGTGGTCACCATTAATAGCATTTATTTTGCTAATTTTCTCAGTTGAAAGATGATACTTTGTGTTGGAAGCTGAAAGAATATCAGACAACAGGAGACCTTTGGAATAAACAAAATCACTTTCCAGTACCAAATTAAAAATGTTAGGTGCAAATTAACACTTACACATGCTCCTGTTGCATGGAAAATTCCATTGTGTGCATTTAATCTTATTTCCTATTAGTTCTTTAAAAGAATTTCTCTCATTAATAAAAACAGAAAAAAGTTACCCAATACTTCCTTATTTAGTAAAGTAAGAATAAAACAGTTTCAGCTGGAAAATATGTAAGAGTTTATTTTCACTGACAGAATATGTTTGCCTGAAACAACATCAAATGACAGAGTTCTTAGTTCTAAATTTGTTCATATTTTTCAAATATATATGATAGGATAAAGAACAGATAGGAAACGTTTATAAATCCAACATGTTTTTCTTTTCTTCAACCTTTATCAGGAAATGAGATATGGGGAAAAATTTTCTGTTATTTTTATTTTTGTGTTGTTTAATTTTCATTGGTTAAGCAGACTTCACATGTAACTTCCAAACATAAATAATGCTTGCTGGATACACACACATACACACACACACAAATACATATATATATTATCATCCATATCCCACAGAGACAAAATAAAAATATGATAGACTTATACACATAAATTATACACACTAACACTGCTCAACTAGTCAAATGCATGTAAAGTCTGCTTAACCAATGAAAATCAAACAACATAAAAATACCAGAAAATCTTTTTTCCATATCTCATTCTCTGATGAAGCTTTAATAAAAGTGAAACATATTAGATTTATAGACGTTTCCTATTTCTTCTTTTTCTATCACTGTCTCAGTCTCTGAACCATGTTTGATCTGTATTGGATCCCAATTCCACACACACACACACACACACACACACACACACACACACACACACACACACACATATATATATATATATATATATATATATATATATATATATATATAGATTGAGAGAGATACCATGGATGTGTACACACACACACATATATATATATATAATATGTGTGTGTGTGTCATGACTTTAGGTTAAAGTGCTCAGTATCAGGGATGGAATGTATGTAAATATAAAAACAAACAAAAATAAATAAAATAAATTAATCCAATCCAATAAATAAGTAAGTTACTTAAGTAAATAATAAACAAATTAACAAACAACAAATGCACATATAAACACAAGTAAATGTAATAGTGACAACCAACAATAAAATAAATAAGGAAAACTTTAATAAACACTATAAAATAGCCACAAAACTGCACCCTTATCCAAAATCATTTCCACTCAGTAGCCCTTAAAATAACTCAAAACATAGCCATAAATGCCCACTTAAATAACAGTTAGAACAATACAATAGGCCTACTCATAATGCATCACTAACCAGTATATATAGTCAAGCAAAAACACAATGCACATGGCCTGATGATTGCATTTAAGCATGAATCAGATTGTTACCACTGTGTCCTGTTATATATATATATATTCAGGAAGTATATCTTCATTCAATCATATTTGGTTGAATAATCTAGACACATTATATCTATTTATTTTATATTAATTCTCTCAAATTTATGGATGAATTACTTAGTGCTGTTATTAAATTGATTAACAAAGATGCTGTAGTTTTTGTCATCCCTTTTATTTTCCTGAGTACTTTCAATTTCATCCAAGATCATCTTCAGGGATGAATTCCTAAGACAAAAAATTAATGTAATTGATTGTTGTGAGGGAATGAGAAAATGAGAAAGTAATGAGGAAAACTATGGCTTATATATAATCATTTCACTGTACACTCTTGTAAACTCAGCTACAAATATATACACCCATACATACACACAGGGATTGCTCTGAAAATACAACAGATACAGAGTGTACAATAACATCACTGGATAGAGCAAGTTATTGATGTTACCAGTGGTGAACTACATTACCTATTGCATGACTAAACTCGAAACGATACACTTCTGCTTCACACTTTCATATCAGACACCGTTTTATCATACTACCATTCAGCTGCTCTATGTATCAATGTAAAAATATCCTTTATGTGCTAAAGAAAAGGTGAAGCAGGCCATAATTTTTAATCCCTTGTTGGGGCTGTCTTAAAAATGTAGCCAACATGTTATTTGTGTGCTCATAAGGGTATGAACATTTTTTAAAAATGCAATGTCATCATTATCATCTGTTTTCTTAATTCAAGTTCTTTTATTGTTCTCTCTCCTCAATCTTTTTCTTTCATACTCAGTAACACCTTTCATCTTAGTGGCTTTAATTTGGTTTCATTGAGGTGAAATGATTAAAAAAAGAGTAAGATTGAAATTTTAATCAAAATGGAATATCTCATCTAACAGAGCCTAGAATTACTACTACTTAGTAACTTATTTATTTATAAACTTAGCAACTTATGTATTTTATTATTAAACTTAGTAACTTAGGTATTTTTATAAATTTATTAACATGTATTTATACTACTGCAATAAAACTTTGAACATAAAAACAGGAAAACATAATAATGAATGTCTTGAAAATAGCTAATGAATTGACCAAAACCACTTGGGATATTAATCACTAATCACTAGTCTTCAAAAAAAGAAAATCTAAGAACATTAAGAAAAACTGAAAAGTAAAACACTTATAAGATTTAACTTCTCACTTGCATCCAATGAAATGTCAGTAAAAGAACAGTTGTTACCCAAATATACTGTATACAGGGTGCAATGGATAAATTGTCATATAAGTTAGACAAAAATGAAAATAGCACTCACATCTCATTTTTACAGATATTTTTACCAAAATTACAAATAATATCTTGAAATACTAAAGAGGAAATTTCTTCAATAAAATCAACTACTGCCTCCAAATGACTTTGTGCTTCTCCTCTGGATGGTTTCTTTGTTTAAGTTAGTGAATGCTGCTATAATCCTTGCTTCTAGTTCATCTTTGGTCTTACAAGGGGTTTTGTTGATCTCTTGCTCAACTGTGCCCCACACATAATAATCAATAGGTTGCAGTCTAGGAAGTTAGGTGGTCAGATGTAAGGTGTAATTGTCTGACAGCTATGACTGGGTTCTCCTTCTTGTGTGACATGGTGCAGAGTCCTGTTGCCAGATATACTGTCTTCCAGCAGCCAGGGTAGCACTACCTCCTTAAGACACTTAATGTAGGCCTCTGTGTTCAGTCTAAAGTCACTCACCAACAAATTTGGGGGTTAGTTTCTTATCAAAACAATCAAAGTGAGTTTCCCAAGCTGATATATCTTCATAATCACAATTAGACACATCCAACTTCCTGAATCCTCAGAACTATACTCAGTATGACACCCAAACACTGTGAAATATTTGCATTGAAGCTTTTAGCATGAATGCCAAGCAGTCCAGCATGTCGTTTCCAAATTTCTAGAAGAGTGAATTGCATCATGGTGGTCTTTATCTCACCAATGGTATCCAACTAACCCTACTATACTGTGCAGTTGACAAAAGCAAAAACAAACAATTCACATGCACGAAATTAAAAATATCAAATGGAGACAATTTACTCATTGCACCCTCTGTGTGTGTGTGTGTGTATATATATATATATATATATATATATATATATACGGAAAAATTTTAGGAAAATTTCTTACAACATTTCATCTTTCTTGGCAGATCTATTAACAAAAGGGAAACCAAATAAAATTGGCTATGCTATATACCAGAAAATGTATTTTTTAAAAATTAGATTTAAAATTTCAGCATCTCCACTTTTTCATGCACAGGAATAATCACATTAGTGTAACAATCATTGTAGTCTGATGAAATATGTCATATGAAAACAATTTTAGACCTCGTCATAAATTTTCCTAATATATATATATATATATATATATATATATATATGTGTGTGTGTGTTTGTTCATGTTCGGTTGAATAGTCTAGATATAAGTCTATTTTAAAACATTGATAATAAAAAATTTAAACAAAGATACCTCCATTACATATTCCTAAAGTAAATTGACTATAACAGCACATTCATGCACATTTACAAAAACATTTCACAACTGTCGATTACAGTAATTTTAGGCTTAACAATTCACCCCTGAATATGATTTTGGATGAGATTTAAAGTAATTAAGGGAAAAAAGTAATGACAAAACTATGGCGTCTTTCTTACTCAGTTTTGTAACAGCACAAAGAAATTGATTGATGGATTTCAAAGGATTAAAATAAAATAAGTAGACATAATATGTCTAGATCATTCAACCAAACAAGCTTAAATGAAGATATGCTACCTATATATATATATATATATTCTCACAAATGGCTTTTATTATAATCAAACTGTAATAGAAACTAAAAGACAAGAATTCAACTTGAAATAGAATGTACAGACACATTGGGGCATGCATCCAAAAGACATGAATATATATATATATATATATATATATATATATATATGTATGTGTATTATATGATAATGGAAGTCAAATATCCATGGTTACTACTTTGAAAGCTGACCAACACCCTAAACAAGAAATGAATACAAATCTCCAATTATCTTGAGCCAAGAATGAACCCAGTGCCAGCTTCTCTCTTCTTATTGATCTTCTCAAGTCTGTAAACATTTCTTTACTGTGTTTCAAGAGTCTTTGTATATTTGCAGGCACATACGCAGCCCAAAGACGCAACCACCAAAATTACTAGCAGAACAAGCATTTGCCATGGGGACAGTGGAACATGCAGAAGAATCTGCACGCCTCATGTCTGATCAGACCAATGGTGGGTTGAGACTGACAGGTAACACACACTTTAGTAAGTACTCATTTATAATGGTAAAAGTTTTACTTTTTTTGCTTTCAAAGAAGAATTGAAGCAAGAAACTTATTAAGAAAATGTATTGTCACATGTATAATTTTTTTTGCAATTCAATGACCTCTGACCCAACTTTTTAGTTTCAGTGTCAAATTGATCTTAATGAAACATGATGTTGCAAATTGCATAAACAGGTAAAACTTAACATCTGTCTATATTTCTGAGATGAGGCATTGTAACTATTTACATTATTTACATTGAACAGAGTTGTTCGTATTTTAATTGTCACATTTTCAGCTGTTGTTTGCTCTGGCCTTTGTCAGATGATATACGCTGGAATTTTGAACCAAAACCAGTATGAAGGTAGATGAGGGTAGATTGTTCTAGTTCCATGTGCCATGTCTTTTCTGGATATCTCAGTATCAGTTAATTCCCTTTAGTAACTCAACTCGCCAAGCTTTTGTTTCCTCTGCTGTGGCCAGGTATTGAACTCACAACTCTTTGGATCAACTCACTTTTGGATTACGTGAACTAAATAAAGGGCTCAGTTCAAAATTTCAACATATATCTCCTGAAGAGAGCTGGAGTGTACAACAGCTGAAACGTTGCAAATATGACAATAAAGATGAAGACAACAGTCTAAACAATGTAAATAGTGTAAATAGGAAACTCTTAGTTTGTCTTGGGCTTGTAGAAATATTTTACATCTTGCCAATAACACAAATCAAATTCAATAAAGTAAATGTATACAAAACTTTATAAGAGAAAAGAATGATTTTTATTTTAACTGAGTGAAATCACTTAGGCTTACAATATTTTATGTGTATTTATTTATGTGTCTTGATGTGTGTTTCAAGATTTATACTACCAGTGAATGAAATTAATTTTCTACATATCATTTTTACCCATTATGGATAGCTATGCTAGGGACCCCTGTCAGTTGTAATTATAAACAGATTGATCCCAAGGTCCATATCATTTACAAAATCACACTCACTCTTCTTTGTGTGATCACAATTGATGTCTTCTATTATTCTATTTTTTAAGTTAAATGGTCAAGACACTTTTTTTTTAATCAGAAACTGATGGATGATCAATCACACAACAAGGAAAGATTCTGGAATTAACAAAATAATTTCCTCTTGCCAAATTGAAAATTTCAGGCATTAATGCTTACAGATGCTCATGTTGCATGGAAAATTCCATTGTGTGCTTCTAATTTTATAACCTGTTAGTCCTTTGCAAGGTATTCCTTTCATCTTCTCAGTGCAAAAAACTGTTATCCTGTATTATTTAGGAAAGTAGGAATAAAGTTGTTCCAGTAGAGCATCATGTAGAAGGTCTCAAAGAGTTGGCATGCTGTAAAATACTTGTATGTTCTATTAATACAAGGCCATGCTTAAAAGTTCTTGCTCCAATCCACATCCCAAAATATGACCAAATATCATATTTTTTTAGTCCTTTCTTGGTCAGGCAAAGAACTTTGCACCACCCCTTGTGTGTGTGTGTGTATATATATATATATATATATATATATATATATATATGCACACACATAGATATATATTTAAATTTCAGATAGAGTATATCTGTAAAAGGACAATATGAAAAAAGACAAAAGAAAACTTATCTTAGCCAACACGTTTCTTCCTCAGATGCACTTTATCAAGTCAAATCTAAGGATTTTATTTTGTGACAAGTATTTATACACAAGAGCAAAAGTGTTACTGGCTTTTCAAAATTTTTGTTATAGGGGTGCTCATGAATATCCATAAGGTTAGTGGAAAAGTCAGGTAAATTCATGGACGTTGGGTGATACAGTTTAGTGCCTAATAAACATTTCTACTAACCTGATGAATATTCACAAGCTCTATTATACCAAAAATTTTGAAAAACCAATAAAATTTATGCTCTTGTATATAAATACTTCATGCAAAATAAAATTCTGACATTTGCCTTGTTAAAGTTCATCTGAAGAAAAAACATGTTGGCTAAGATAAGTTTTCCTTTTGTCTTTTTTCATATATATATATATATATATATATATATATATATATACATATATAGTGGTACTTGCTTGGAAAAACCTTAGGTATTTTGGCTTATAGTTATAGGAAAAATGAGGAATAAAAAAAGAAAGAACTATAAACATAAAATTGAGGCGAAAAGAATCATCCAAAATTCAAGCTCACAGTCCAAAGAAAAAAACTTCCAAAACAAGTAAAAGTAACTACATCAAGTACTCAATACACAAAGTAGAGCAAACCTAATATAAACCTAAAGTGCTAGGTAAACCTACCTAGGTTTCACCTAAACGGATTGTCAGGGTCAAACTGGCCAGTTTGACCCTGACAATCTGTTTAGGTGAAAGCTAGGTAGGTTTATATTATATATATATATGGACATTAGTTCATACATTTAGGTCATATAAATATAGTATAGAGGTTGGTATACTATTTAGTTGGTTACATCAAACTTTAAATTGTAGTTGTAAGTTAGGTTGGGAATTAGTTGTTGACCAAGTGTAGAGGAAATTATATGTTCTTCACAAAGATAAATAGGTGTCAAGTCATAGGAATGAAAATAAGCATATAAACTGTAACAATAAAAAGATGAAATATTTATTATTATTTGTGTGCTTAATTGAACAAGAGTATATTAGTGAAAAAGTTCAAATAGTTCAGCAAATTTCTTACTGCAGTTGATTTGAAAGTGTTTGTATTAATTTCAAGGCTGATTTGTATATTGTTATTTGGCTAGACAAGTAGTAATTATTTGTATGTTACAGTAATATCTCTTGAAATGCTTGTGAGTAATGGGAGTGTGAATAGTAGAAAAATATCCACATAACTGGCAATGTTTGTCTCCACATGAAACTGTTGGCTCCAGAAAAGTGTTTAGTAAATGTTCATCAGTAGCATTTGTGATTAGATCAACAATACTTAAGACATTTTTTCACCAATTCTAATTAGCTACTGGAAGTGGCAGTTTCAATCCTATGTACTTTTTTAAAACTCTGTTAAAGAAAAGAGAAGAAACAAAAAAATAAACTGTAAGCTATAGTAACAATAAATGCCTGCAATAAGTTTCTTCTGTCTCTCGACCGCAACACTTGTAGCCAAATCACAGTTCAAATGATAGCCCATTGTAACAGTCCAACGGGCAACGTAGAAATGACAAAATGGGATCACAAATCCAACCTTCACTTTTCAGCAGCAAAAACGCATGTTTGTCTACCAAACTCAAAAACAATCCTCCCCATAAGCGAAAAACAATGGCCTTTATTTATCAAATGATTTTTCTGATTGGCCACACCATTTAGCGGAAGAAAGAACATTAGCATAGATTCTGGTCCTTAAAGTAGTTTTTTGCTAACTACTTTAGTAATTTTTCTTCAGCAGATTGCACACAAAACACAAACTCTTTTTTGAGGTAGATAATTATCTCTCTCACTACAAACTCAATCCTACTTCTTATTCTATGTGGTATGTCCATTACACAATTTCCTGTCTTTTATAGCTCTGAGTAATTCTGCCAATCATCTACATAAGCCTATTAGGTAGATTATTTGTTGCTTTTTTTCTTTCCTTCAATATGCCCTGTGAGTGACAAATTTTCCAAGCTCTCTTTCCACATTATGTGCCTTACAAATTTAAACTCTTTCTGAATCTAAGTATAATTGGGGTACACGTATATGAAGTCCAATATACCCATAATGACACCCAGCTGGATAAGGATAACCAGGCATATACATGAGCTCTCATGAAGTTAAAAAAGAAAATAAACTTTTGATACATCCTCATTGTATTATTTCATATATTCACAGTGTGTTGAAATTAAAAGGAGTACATTAAAGAAGTTCATGATTGAATAGATCAATTCTGATTAAAATTAGCTTGTAGTCATATTCTTCTTCTATGTGCCAAGTCAGTATAGGTCATAGGTCATCATAGCTCGCCACAATTTCCTGTCCTTTGTAGCTCTTAGTAAATTTTGTTTTTTGATATCTCACCTAAACCATTTTTTGCCATTCGTTTACACAAGCTCACTAGCAAGGTTATGCACTATTTTCCTCTTACTTTAATATGTCGTGTAAGTGGCAAATTTTCTAAGCTTTTTTTCCTCATTATGTACCCTAGAAATTTCATCGCTCTCTCTCTCTCTCTCTGATACTAAGTATATGTGTTCTTTTTTCTGTTTTCTCAAAATTTTGTTGTTGCTCACAAGTTTAGTCATTGGTATTCTCATCATACTTCCATAGAAGCACATTTCTGTTGATTCATGTCTTTTCTTCATCTGCTATACAGGGAGACTGATATTATCTAACAGTTAAGTACTCTTTTCTTTGTTTATATCAAAATTTTTCTGTTTCTTAATATTTTGCTTAGCTTTTTGGAAAGCAACTTTCACTATCTCAATGTGCCTTTGGATTTCAGTTTTGAACATAACAGTTTAAGAAAATTTTGACAAGCTTCATTTCACATTTTATTCAAGCCCACAGCTCAGATTTATCAACCATTATTAACAACTCAAAAACCATTAAAAATAAACATTACAATATTTTGGATAATAATTGAAAATAAGCCCAAAGCTTATTGGCAGACTGACTCAGGAGGCTGGGTTCCAATGAGTATTAACTGGGCATACATTTCTGTTAAGTGTTATAATCACAGCACTTACAGTTCAGAAACTCTCCAATACAACCTCACATATGCATACACACACACACACACACACACATATATATATATATATATATATATATATATATGATATTTGGAGGTATCATTATTTGTGACTAAAATAATTTTCTAGTTCTTCAACCGAATTATAATCCCCTAGCTGGAAATAGTTGGCTGCCAATCTTATACAGATTATGTGTAACTTCCTGCAATTTGCAGTCTTTGTTATTTCTGTATCAGAATTTAACAACTTCTTTCTTTCCATTTTCTCATTGCAATTTTTTACTTCAGTCTTTTCATTCCTATATATCCTATCTC